CAGGCCTGCCAGCTGCCGAGGAGGGTTTGAAGGCGGTCCAAAATGCCTAACGTCGCCTTCGGAAGCCCATAAGAAGAGAGGAGGCAGGCTTCGGACAGGCCACAGAGAGGCCGCAACAGGCCTGCCGGCTGCCGAGGAAGGCGGTCCAAAATGCCTAACGTCGCCTTCGGAAGCCCATAAGAAGAGAGGAGGCAGGCTTCGGACAGGCCACAGAGAGGCCGCAACAGGCCTGCCAGCTGCCGAGGAGGGTTTGAAGGCGGTCCAAAATACCTCACGTCGCCTTCGGAAGCCCATAAGAAGAGAGGAGGCAGCCTGCCAGCTGCCGAGGAGCGTTTGAAGGCGGTCCAAAATGCCTAACGTCGCCTTCGGAAGCCCATAAGAAGAGAGGAGGCAGGCTTCGGACAGGCCACAGAGAGGCCGCAACAGGCCTGCCAGCTGCCGAGAGAGGAGGCAGGCCTTGGACAGGCCACAGAGAGGCCGCAGCAGGCCTGCCAGCTGGCGAGGCCTCGGACAGGCCTTTGGAAGTGCTTGGAAGGGTTCTGCTAGGCTTGGCCAACTGCGAGCGTTTGAAGGCAGTCCAAAATCCCAGGCGCCTCCCCGCCTAGGCTTTGGCTATAGGCCGGGGTCGGCGGATTCCCGGTTCTTTGTTCAGCAAATCCAAAGGTTCACCTTGATGTTCGATCTTGCCTCTGTTAGTGCCTCACGGTCGTCCACAGTTCCAGACATTTCGCCGCTTCCCGCGACGAGTCGACGATGTAGAAGTCGGAGCGAACGAAACGGAAGATGCAAACGGGAGATGCTTCGCTTTTGGTCAGGTAAGAGAACTTTCAAACAGAACTGGGCCAGTGATCCGAAAGAATGGGAAGATGTCGGAGGTTGCTTTACGAAGACGCCCGGTCTTTGAGGCAGAAACCCAACTTCATCTGCGTGCCCTACGGAGTCTTCGACTTCGTTCAAGGAGCCTCTCAGATGCAGAAAGAACGCATTGAGGGCTGTGACCACCTGCAAGCAAAATGTCTGGAGGTTGCTTTTATCCTTAATATATATATATATAGCGTATATATATATATAGTCTAAATCATTCCAAATCAGTTGAACATGTGCAGAGAGTCCATGAATCTTGGAGCAGGGCGAAGTGGACGCATGCACCTGCGCTACTGACATGAACATGACTTGACTTAACTGGGTGGGGTTCATACGTGGGTTGTTACATGTTGTTTGAAACATCGTGAATCTCCCAGTTTTTTGGAATCAAGTCCTGCATTGCCACATGTTAAAGGAAAGACCCTATAATGGTATTTAGTTCCGAAGAGATCGTTCTTGAGTTTGGAACGACCCTCCTGTATCTCCTGTACAATCGCCACCACCCGCCACGCCACCACCCTTCGTACTTGGGCAACAACACCTGCTAATACTATTTTGCAGTCACCACAATTTTGACACTGGCAACCACTTCTTGCAACTACAATGGCCACAGAGGAAACACCACCACTGCCGCCACCGAGATTCTTGACTTCATCGCGAGTCTCTTCCCCTCGCAGTGGGGGGCTGCAGTTGGCATTGAGATGGTCGCCGTGGATCATGTTCAACCACCCCAATGTAGGTACATGAGCCAGTGACATGGATGGCTTGGGTGTCAAGTTTATGGGGTTTCGGGCCTGTCCGCTTGTTTTCGACCTGGATGTTGCTTCCAACCCAACTCCAAAAGAAGGGGCACTTCTGATTTCTTTGTCCATCCTGAAGAGGCTGATCTACTAAGGGTATGGCGGGCGGTGTTCACCCGCACTGTCCGCAACGACCTCGACACGTTCGACCGGTCGCCCTGGCACTGTACCCGACCCGCCGTTGCGGCACCGGAGGGGGCGGGCGGAAGCGCTGCTGGGCACCTGTTCTTAGCACGGCCGTTCAACTAGAGATTTACTTGAGCATACTTGAGCAAAATATGCTGTAGTAGTAGCCATTGCGAGACACTCCATATAATACCATGAGATATATAACACCCCATGGACCCCTTTTCAACTGTCAGGTAAATATATGGTATATACCAGTTTTTCATAGGTCATGTCTGAGATTCCGTATCACGGAGCTGCCGGAGGTGTTTTTCCACGATACTTTTCACGATGTGATCAGGTCAGATCTGGCCGAATATGGGCGGATCGGGCGCTACTACGCGGAGCAGAGCATGCTGGTCGGGAGCCGGGAGCGTTTTGGTTTGGGGCATGACCCACTCTGACTATAGCTACAAAAAAGTGAATGAGACTCCCTGTTACTAGAGGAAAGTAGTCTTCCAACAAAAACATTGTTCACTTGCATGTTAGTCAGTGAGAGTCTACGACTCACGCCCCATCAAATCAGAGCTACAATCTTCTGAGCACCTTGCGAAGAAGTTATGCATGTCCCTTTTCCGAAAGGGCTTTGGGAGGCTGAGTTACTAACTTCAGGTTTCACCTTCTTACACAGGCACATGTCTAAACATGTAAAAGAAGCGTTGTGTACCATGTGAAAACATGCGTTCTGAATCTCTGGGAAGAATTGGGAAGCTAACGTATCTCCTCTTAGTGATGGATACAGGCCAGAGGCGTCGCCCTGCAGATGGCTACGTAAGCGGAGGTCATAGAGGTCGTAGGTCGTTTTGTGGTCCATGGTCTCCAACGGGTAGCATTGGCGTCCGTCGCGGGGTGCGGGGTGCTTCTGGATGGCCACAACCCACCGTCACTCTCAACCCCTGATCCTGGCAAGGTACCCGGCCACGTCGGTATGTAAAACCCTGTATAGCTCCAGAATACTGTAAGGGGGATCCATTGGCTCAGGCTGAGAAACAACACTTAGAGAAGTCCTTGGCTTCTTAACATGTTGATGCATTTTGTGAAATCCTGGCTTGGCATCCTTGTAACGTTTGATACTTTGGGGTCCTATGTCTTATGGAGTTCTCATGTGCCCAAACTCTTTTGGACACTTTTTTTTGGGGCACTTCGGATGTGAATCTTCTAAAACGTCGTGTTTTCTTTTTCTTCCGAAGACCGAGTCGCAGGTCATGGACCCCGCCACTGGGAAGTACAGCGAGGAGAATTGGGGAAGTCACCGTGACCTGTAACCAGCCCGAGCGCCCGACCAGCACACGGACCGGACCGACGTGGACCATGGACCTGAATCAATTTGCACCCCACATATCGACCGCATGGAACACATGTTAACCTGCACCCCTGGACCACATGACAAGTTTGTGGGGGTGTTACACACATGCCGCAGAAGGCGCACCACTTGGAACATCCGGACGAAGGAGGAGCACCACGAACCGTCCGTAGCTGAACACTTGGCTACTCCCAGAAAATTGGAGCACATTTTGCAAGTCCACTACACTACTACACCCCTAGGTTGAGGATCCCATACTATCCGAATTATATACCTAGTATATAAATCCTAGTAAGATAGTAGAACTTAGAATGCCTGTTTGAGTTCCAAACGCAGTTCCAAACGCATCCCCTATAGTTAGAATGCCCGCAGCATTCTGTATATACCAGTCCTACACCATGGATAGGAAGGTATACCATCCTATACCATTCTAAGTTCCTGTTCAGTCCTATTTCTATAGTCCTATACCATACCCGCTATATACCCACACCCAGATGACCTCTCACCTTCAGGAGCTCACGCCCTCCTATGGCAGGCGCGCGGGACCTCGCGTTCCGGCAGCGGCCGTTGGGACGTTGGAGACGAATGAGGGAGACCCATAGGACCCACGTCACATGCAAAGGTTCTTTGAACAAGTACCTGAGTTTTCTCATGACTGTGGGCACATACGTGCGTACCTGTTTCTATATGTTTCTATAGGGTCATGTCAGTCATGTCCTATTTTGTAAGGTACTTTGGAGGGTCCAGGTACTGCAGAAAGGGTCCTGTGGGAGAAGGGTGTAGAAAGCAAGCATGGCTGTCCTCCTTCGCCACCACTTCACCCTCTTCTGTGCCTTCTTCGTCTGGGAAAGACCACTCGCATTCCAAGGAGAATCTTCATGACCAAATGATGAGGTGATCGAAACATATAGGTGCTTTAGAGAAAGCGGTGATGGAGGCAATCTACAGACTGCTACAGACCTGAAGAAATTGAAAGAGGCAGTAGAAGAGTAGTGACAACAAAGAATTCTGTGAGTTGGCCAAGAAACAAACACCTTGTTGGAGAGCTGCAAGCTTCTTTCAATGAAGCACTTGAAGCTTTCAAACTCGAAGAAGCAGGCATCCAACTCCAACTCGCTTGGTGTTTCAGATCGAGGAGAAGATGGAGTAAGAATAGAAGCTCAAAAAGAGCTCCATGCTTCGCAAGGGAGGCGCACACATGACCACACACATCATCGAAAACATGACGATCTTCGGCACAGATCCAGTCATCACGGTCATCGGATCCTGCGTGCCATCCGCATCAACGGACGCCCGATGTCGGAGGGTTCATGCGCACAAACGGATTCAGACCATTTCCATCCATGTGCCTAATAGATCCTAATAGAAGCTAACTATATATATAAGTATAGCCGCTATATACTACAATGGGTGGAGCTCCCTCCCCTCGAGTTCTTGTTTTCTTTTCTGGACCGCTCGGACCGCCCGCGCAACCGCACAACCTGTCGACCGCCCATAGGACGGACCTCAAGACCTTCCTGACCGAAGCCCTTCAGGACGAGGGGATGTGGGGGAAGCAACGTCCGTGTCTTGGTGAAGAAATGAAAAGACTTTGAGCATGTAAAGTCTGTGAGACTTTGATTCTACCTAGAATGGAACGATGTGGGAATCACGGCCAGGAACCTCCTTTCCAAGTGCAAGAATCATGTCCCACCCAGAGCTCCAAGGACATGTTTGAAACTCTGGAGTTTCTGCTTTTAAGGCATCAAGTGTTTGTGCCATCCTGGGTGACACCGCCGACCTTTTTCAACAGTAATCACATGTAATCACCTAATCTACCCGAATCTACCTACTAAGAGAGTCCGGATTCACCCTAATCCCGGACCTTCTGTTTCTTGGCCAAACATTCAGTTTTTGCCGCTGCAGAGCAGGTCTGTGTCCAAAGTTGTGAGCGTTGCAATGGCTAGAGTCCATTTGAACCATATTTCGACAACTAATTGAAGCTCTCATCCAATTCCACACGAAACGCACACGACGGACTTGCTCGCGCGCCGAACCACCCGCAACTGCTCAAGCTCAAAGACGTGGATCCGCCAAAAAGGCCGCCGGCGCAGGCCTTCCCGGGGGTCGAGGGTCCGTTTTCGCTGGTCTGGTGCAGCTACTTACTTCGGGTCACGAGGACATCCGCATGGATCACCCTGTATCCTCTTTTTTGGGGGGGACCTCATTCTTTCCTAGGTATTCCCCAGGCCCTATGTGTGTCACCACTGGACAAGTGTCACCACGGACCCCGCGACATGGCCGGGACCGCATTTTCCGACGATCATTCCGCGACGGCCCGGTGTGGTGCGGGTTTTTGGAGCATGTGACAAGAGCACACCAAGTTGTTTTTGTGGTGGTGGTTGTGGTGGTGGTGGCGGTCGTTGTTGTCGTTGTCGTTGTCGTTGTCGTTGTGGTTGTGGTTGTGGTTGTGGTTGTGGTTGTGGTTGTGGTTGTTGTTGTTGTTGTTGTTGTTGTTGTTGTTGTTGTTACAAAAACAGCCGCCCAACATAGTTGTCACATGTTGCAAGTCAGGGATTTCAATGGGATTCTGTTAGGGATAGGGTCGAAGGTTTGGAGAGATGTTAGTAGCTGGACTTCTTGTCGTTGTGGTACTCAAGTCTTGGTTGGTCTGCTTATTGTTTTTTGTTGTGTTGTTTTGGGGAGGGGGGGTCAAAAAACAACAACGGGGTTGCAGATTTTGTTTCTAGGGGGGGGTAGAGACAACAACATCTTTTGGAAGGGGGGGGGTCCAAAAAACAACCACGGGGTTGCAGTTTTTGTTTCTAGGATGTGGTAGAGGTTCTAAGTAGAAGTTTTACAGGGCTCACTTAACCAGTTACAATAAGCATCACCAGTAGCATGACCCGCAGAGGAGTTTCATAGACCCTAAGAAGGCGTTTAAGTCGACCATATTGTTCCATTGGAATCCAAAAACTTCCAGGAGTCTCCAAGAAAAGACTGATTTTCAGTGCATAGATTGAGAACCGGGTTTCCACCCCCTCCGCCTCCGCACACGCCCCGCGCACTGTCCACACGTCCCGGGGTGAGGGGTGTCTACCACTAGTAGTAGTAGTAGTAGTAGTAGTAGTAGTAGTAGTAGTAGTGGTAGTAGTAGTAGCACTAGTACCACTAGTAGTAGTAGCAGTAAAGTGCTTGTTGTCCGGTTGTTTTGGGGGGGGGTCAAAAAACAACGACGGGGTTGCAGAATTTGTTTCCACCCCCTTGTAGAGAAAAAGAAAGAAGATGTGGTGTAACGGGGTTGCAGTTTTTGTTTGTACCTTGTTGTTGCTGTTGTTGTTGTTGGTAGAGACAAAAACAGCTGCCCAACATAGTTGTCACATGTTGCAAGTCAGGGATTTCAAAGGGACACTGTTGGGGATAGGGTCGGAGGTTTGGAGAGATGTTAGTAGTTGGACTTCTTGTCGTTGTGGTACTCAAGTCTTGGTTGGCCTGTTTCTCTTGTTTTTTGATGTTTTTTGGGGTGCTGTTCTGGAGGGGGGGGGTCAAAAAACAACAACGGGGCTGCAGATTTTGTTTCTAGGGGGGTAGAGACAACAACATCTTTTGAGGGGGGGGGTCTTAAAAAACAACGACAGGGCTGCAGTTTTTGTCTCTAGGATGTGGTAGAGGTTCTAAGTAGAAGTTTTACAGAGGCTTAGCTGACCGGACTACCACCACGACGACGACGACTACGACCACTACCACCACCACCACCACCACTACCACGACTACTACTACTACCACTACTACTACTACTACTACGACTACGACTACGACTACGACTACTACTACGACTACTATTACTACCACTGCAACAACGACTACTACTAGTACTAGTACCACTAGTACTAGCACTAGTACTAGCACTACCACTACTGGTAAAAGTACATGTTGGCTGGTTGTTTTCGGGGGAGGGGTCAAAATAACAACGACAGGGTTGCAGATTTTGTTTCCACCCCCTTGTAGAGACAAAGGAACAAGATATCTTGTAACGGGGCTGCAGTTTTTGTTTGTACCTTGTTGTTGTTGTTGTTGTTGTTGTTGTTGTTCTTTGAACATCATGCTAAAGGGGTGCGGTTCTGTGAATTCCATCGGGTCGTAAATGAACAACAAGCAATGATGGGAGAAAAGGGGTGCTGCCAAAGGCAATTGATAAATCCTTCAACCCATGATTCCTGTAGATTCCCAAAAAGATCTTCGGCCTAAATCCAATACACGGTTTGACCATGATCAGAGGATCAGACAATGAGTTCTCGTTCGCTCACCAGCAAGAAGGGCAGCTATAGAGAGGCTTGCCCTCTTGGGAATACCTGGAGGTGATCATTCCAAGATAACCAGCTTCAAGGGCACCCAAGATTGGTGAAATCGAATCAGTAGATCATGCATTAATTGCAAGTAGATCTTGTGCCCCCGAATGCTGTGGCCCTTGGAACGAAGTTTGTAGCAACCCGAAGTGCCCCTTCGCCCGTGGTCTTCCTGCAAGCTTTGAGTCACCTTTACTCAGCCCGTGGTCTTACTGCGTCCGAAAAAGAGCGGTATCCCTTCATCAGAAATCGTTGATCTCCACCTGAAACATCCTGAAACCCAACCTCCCTCAAGTGATTTGCTGTGCTCGTTTATTGATCTCCCTCAGGTGCGTTATTCAATCGATACCGCTAGAAAAGAGCCAACACGAGATGACCGATAGCCAAAACTGGCGCATCAAGTTCATGGGTGAATCCTCATCCGCAAGAGAAACCATGTTCAACATGGCCGAATCAGGTGATTGTTCGTTTCCCGGATTGGGGCAAATCCCCCACCCTGGGGGAAGATGATTCTGCAAATCCAAGATCCATCTCTGCATCGACGAAAGGTGTGTCTGTCCTGCGTCGTCTTGCTCTCTTTCTTCAGGTGTCAGACTCGACCATGGGCTCGGGTGCCAGCATCTCTGAGCAGTTGCAGAATGCCTCGCAGGACGAGTTCCGAGGTCCGTATTTGGAACTCGAAGCGGTCGCCGACACGGTCGGAACACGGACCAGCCCAGGCGTTCCCTTTTGATCGGGAAAAGGCCCGGAGGAGTTTCGGGGTCAGGAAGGCTGGGCACCCCAGAACCACCCTACTTCCATCTTTTTGGATCACTGGGGCACTACAGGGTACACTGAGGCACACCCAGGTCCAGTCTACCAGGTCCATGGCCCAATGGCCCATGGTCCCAGTCAAACCAAACATTGGAGTGATGTTTTTGTGTCGAAAAGAGGTCAGTTCCTGACCTGCAGTGTTTGCAGTGATGCTTTTGTAGCACTGGTTCCGATCAAATCCGCTCGCAGGAAGAGATCCAAGAGGCTTTTGAGAAGATGCCTGAAGAGGCGCGAGAAATCTTGTCATGTTGATCAACATCAGTCAAGGAATGCCATGATAGAAAGTGATCGTACGCACGTTGCCGAAGTAGAGCTAGAGGGCCCAGACAATGCACAACATCCATTTTCTCGACCATGGAGGTGGTCGCTGTCCCCGTTGGTTGGAAAGCCTCTAAAGCCCAAAGGGGCCCCTTTGATGGCAGTTGTAGAGAAATGATAGACAATGGCTAATGTACTCTGGGAGACTGGAGACCGAAAGCTGGATTAGCTGACCCTTTCCCCACTCAACAAGCTAAACGTGGTGATAACTTGATAACTGGATTAGCAGCTCACTTTCACGTGCTTCACTGGATCGGCAGACAACTCAACGAAGTGATTCGTTGGATGGTTCCACAGAGATGACCATGGGAATGTCCAGGTTTGTCCAACATACTCAAGAGTGCAATGTGAGGGATGGTGATGGATGACGAACGACACCCTCTGCTTGGGACCATGCAAAAGACACCCCCGAGTCTGTGGCAGAAACGCTCGCCAGGAACAGCAAAAGATCAAGTCGTGTTTGTCACCTGAAGATCAGGCGAAGGCGTCAAACACATGTCGCTTCGCTGCTCTGAAACACCCGCGCGTGCGAGAAAGATAACTTATTGAAACAAAGCACACTGAGAGTCGAGAAGTCTAGCAGCAGTGATTGCTTGGAACTGCACTGTTTATGAGCTGAGAGTCCTGTGTCAAGAACCACAAGACACGAGTCTGGGTCAAGTCATATTTTTTGATGTTCAAGTGGACTCTGGACTGGACTCCAGTTGATGTATCTCGTCGCTGGCTAGTTAGACTGTTTTGCAATCCAGTCAAAGGAAATTTGGTGATTCTAGGTGCGAAGAAGGAAACTGGGTATCGTATCATGAACTCTTTCGGGCCTAGAGCTGTCAGAGTAGAATGACTGAACAATTCATCGACTGATTCAACTGATTGTGCTTTATGGGTGTTTGAACCAAAACACATGTAACATATTGTGAAATGATGCACACAGTCTGCTCACCTGCACGCCCCCCCCGAAAAGTCTCATTTGGATCAAAGCACCAAAGCACGGTGACCGTGCACCCCCCCACGTCACCACGGTGACCGCGCCGGGCGCCACGGTGACCGTGCTAGCCCATGCAGGTCGAAGCGCTGAAGTG